TCCTCTGAATCTGAATCTGAAACTCCAACAGAACCTGTTATCAGCGGTGAATATGACGCTGAAGCTGAGACTGCAGCTTGGAGCATTGAACTTCCGGGAAATCTTGGACCATGGGAGTCTGTTGATGTTACTATAACAAAAGACCTGGATGACAGCGGAGAATTTGATTTCGTCTCTGCCAATGCATACATCAATGGCGAATTGTATTCATCTGCGGAAATCACATTGACTACTGACAGTATTACCGTTTTGATATCTGAAGCCATTGGTGTAGATGAAATACTCAGCATTGATTTTGTTGCTGACACTTCCAGTGGATACCAATGGACATCTCTTGCCCATATTCTTATGAATGTTCCAGATGAGAGATTGGCGAAGAGAGCTGTTGTCGAATGGGACTTGTCTTCGACTGTTGTTAATGAGGCTGCTGTTCCATCTTCTTCCGAGTCCGCATCTGAGCCAGAATCTGCTTCTGAGTCAGAGTCTGCCTCTGAGGAATCCTCTGAAGAATCATCTGTTGAATCCTCTGAAGAATCATCTGAAGAATCCTTTGAAGAATCGTCTGAAGAATCCTCTGAGCCTTCCACTGAGACCACTTCAGAATCACCAGACATCACGCTAACCTCGTCTACAGAAACCACCACTGTTACTGCGGAAACCACTATACTTGTCACTATCACAAGCTGTGAAGACAACAAGTGCTCGGAGATTGAAGTCCCTACTGGAGTGGTTGTTGTCACTGAGACTATTTCTGGCATCATCACTTCTTACACAACCTACTGTCCAGAGACCTACGTCACCACCAAGACTTACACTGAGAAGATCGTTTTTGTTACCATCCCATGTGAAGTTTGTGAAAAGGGGGCCACCACCATAACCAAGACCATCGAATGTGAGGATGAGTGTTACGACGTTATCGTGACTGAGACAAAGACCATAGCTACTGTCATCGGTGGCTCAGTCATCACTACTGGTGTTGCTAAGACATATGGTACTGGTGCCGAGGCGACTGTTACAACTGTTACTGTTGTTAGCACTGTTGGTGGTTCACCTCTGACTACTGTTGCTGTTGAAAGCTACGGTGTTGCTGTTGACGAGGTTGTTATCACCAAGGCCGAGACTGCTGAAGTTGTTGTCGGTGGTGCTACTGCTTACTCAGTTTCCGATATTGTCGAGACCACTAAGGTCACTAACACTGTTACTTTGGAGGCTGCTGCCTCCACTGAATTTGGTTCATCTGGTTC